TTTTGTACCGGGGATCGAACTTGGGACCTTGTGCTTTTGAGGCAGGCACCAGAACCACTGAGCTAAATCCCCAGCCTCCACCGTGCTTTTTAAAGGTCCATTTCCGATTTGCTTATTAAAATGGTTTCCTGCTTCCCTTTTAAAAAATATGTCTTTTCTTGTGTGAGACTGAACAAGATGGTTCCAAATTTATAGTGCTTTTCTACAGCTGCGTTGGCTCTGCTCTCTCTGAAATAGAAGATCTGTTTAGACACCCTCCCTGCTTGCTTGGCCTCAGTCATTTCCAGTAGTTTGAATGCCTGTTCATTGTCATCTGCCTTCCGAGTTGCTCTTCTTTTTTGGGATGGCCACTGGCTCCATTTACTTATTTTTGGTTTTTTCCTATTGTACAGCAATGGCATTTAATTCTGCCTTCTGTCTAAAGTTGAGCTGGAGGGTGAATATTGAGAAATGTTAACTTGTTGTTGTAGCCTAGCCAGCATTTTTGATACTTAATCATGGACTGGCTTTCCTTTTGATCTTTTGGAGTCTTTGCCTGCTCTTTTTGTGAGAATCTACATTTCTTTTCTTTTCTTTTTTATCTTTTTAAATCTTTTTTTTTTGAGACAGGGTCTTGCTGTGTAGTCCAGGCTGGCCTTGAACTCACAGCAATCCTCCTGTCTCAGCCTCCCAAGTGCTAGGCTTATAGGCATGTGCTATCACACTTGACTGAGAGTCTGCATTTCTTTACGGCAGGGATTATGCCTCATGGCTCTTGGGCACCTCCACAGCACGTACTATGCTACTACAGAAGGGCCACCACAGGCACAGTCAGCTCTTTGTCAATGACTTGAAGCATAGAAGTCTTTTAATGTTAAGTAATTATTGTGTTCCAGATGAATTCTCTTCCGGGCCCTTTTTTTGGTTGACTCTCGTGCTTGTGTCATCTGGGGTGATGCTGTGCGTGCTCTTGCATTCGAAGCTCTTTGTCTTGTAGCCTGAAGGTGGGAGCTCTCCATGGCCTTCTCTCTACCAGTTTGGGTTCCAGCTCATGGAGCAGCTGGGGCTGTGTCTCACAGGGCAGCTGCCCTCTTCCTTGCCAGAGTCAGTTCTTCCTGAGCCAGATGTTTAAGTCAGAATGTGGCCCATATCATGCCCCCAGCTTTTTGTATACGTATGCACATTTTTGGTAGAAGGTGTCTAGATTCACAAGGTTTTTTAGTTTTGAAGCTGAAGATGCTGTCCGTGTACGTCTGCAGGAGAGGCTGCAGGAGTAGTACCCATGGGGCCTTGAGGCACCTTGAAAGGCTGAACAAACATCTATTCCCAGAGCTATAGCAAGTTGACACATATTTAGTGGCTTAAAATAACACAGTTTCACAGTTCTCTAGGTCAGGAGCCTAACATGGGCCTCACTAGGCTGCAGTCAAGGCCTCAGGAGTCTTCGTTCCTTAGAGGAGGCTCCAGGGAGAATCTGTGTCCTGCCTTAGCTGCCCTTGGGCTCCTGGCTGTTGTGATCCATCTCCAGAGCCAGCCGTGGCTGCCTGAGACTCTGTCATGCTATCACCTCTGATTCTCTATATTTTGTTGTCATTTCTCTCTCTCTGACTGCAGCCAGGAAATGTTTTCTGACTTCAAGGACCCATGTGATTAAATAGTCCAGGGTAATCTCTCCATCTCAGGCACCTTCCCTTGATTACACCTGCACAGTCCTCTCACTATGTATGTGAATTTATCCACAGGTTCTGGGGATGAGGACATGGGCATGTTAGTGGGCCATTACTGTGCCTTTCACAGGGGCACATGGGGACTTGACAAGGGTCTAGTTAATGGTTACACGAACAGACAGCTCGGTTTGAATTTACAGGCTCAAAGTACTAATTCAAACTCTAATATCCAGTTGTGTATTTTCTTCTTGATGCCTCAGATTCATCATCTGAAATTCTTACTGTCTTTTAATGATTGAATGTGTTAAGTATAATTACTGTAATTTATGCTGTCGAATATTGTCTGCATCTCATGTTCAGGAAATCCAGCAGCTTCTGAGATTATTGGTTGCTGATAGGTCTCAAGCAGGTCTTGCTCTAGGAATTACCCTCATCCAAACAGAGCTACTTTGCCCAAGATTACACCCTCTCTCAGGGACAGTTTGCATCAAGCAGCTGACTGATGAGGATGGGTGGTGGCTGGCATAAAGACTTCGCCTTCTTGCCTCAATTTTGATGGCTCATCCAGCCCCAGAGCTCCCCACTGGAGTGACCCAAGTTTCTATCACAGTTGTGATGCAATCTGACTTTTCCTACTCAGTGCTGGTTCTTCACCCTCCCATGGATGATGCTCAGGAGCACTGTCCACAAACTCCTGAACGTGTATCTTAGAGTTCGAGGACTTGTGTTCCAAGGAACATGGTCCTTTGACTCCCCCGAAGGTCTCTTTTTGTTGTTTCTTTTGGTTTTTGTCCATATGGTTTTGTCTTATTGTACAATGGGTTATTTTTGCTTGAATGTTAGATTGCATTTGAAAACTTTAGAAACTCTGAATGTTACCTTCCTTCAGAGAACTTAATGCTTCTGTCAGGAGGGTCCCTATCCTAGGAGCAGTGGCCTGCTTAATTTCCTTCACTTAATCTGTTCAGAGGGTCAAGATGATTTAGAGCGTTAGTCTGTGCCAGCTGCTGTGCTTCCAGTTTCCCTTCGCTTCTAGGCTGTAGGCCTACACATTGAGTACTTTCTCTACTCTTTGGTGTTTGTGTCCTAAGTCCCATGAGTCTGTCCAAACTCTCCTTAGCATCAGCCTTTTATCAGACTTTCCCAATTGGCAGATGCCTCTACGCCTCTAGACGAAGACAGTCAGGTATAGGCCTTTCTTTCAGCTTCCTTCCTCTCCGAGTTCTCTGAAGCCTTGAGAATGGTTCAGAGTATCCCATTTCGTTTTTGTACTTGTCCACTGCAGGGAAGTTTTTAAAAACCACCTACGCTGCCACTGCTGGGAACTATTTCCTGCCATATTCTTTTGTCAAAATATAATCTAACCAATCTTTTACTATTGAAATAATGGTTTTATTTAATAATATAACTATTGTGGTGTGCACAATTTATCTCTATTGTGTGATGTGTGTGCCCATTTGCAGTTCTTGTCCATACAGCTTTGAAGTGGAATTATGTTGGAAGCGTCCGGTTGCCTCAGACCCTGATTGACCCCTTTTCAGTGGTAGCTGGGGGATGTGCTGCTCTCTCTGGCCCCGTGAAGCTGACTTTATAGACGTGTGTGTATTTTCCTTCCCTCCTGCAGGCACGGGCTCTCACACCTCAGACTGCAGAAACAGATGCCATCCGATTTTTGGTTGGGACGCAGTCTCTTAAATATGATAATCAGGTAACTATTTTTGACAAACGTATACATGTTAATTACTGAGCTTATTCTTAGTTTTATAACCATTTTGCTCTTGATTTTTCAGGCAACATTTGAGAGAAAAATTAATGCTGTACAAACAAACTACAACTTTCCATAGATTTAAATTTATCTTTTCAAGCTATTATCCAACTTTGTATAATGATTGTGTGCAATAATTTACATGCACTTTGCTTAACTTCACTTGTGAATTTTGTCACAGTTTTGTGGTCACTAAAAGTTTCACTGTATAAGTGACCAAGACTCAGTTGGGGCCTAGAGGCAGTGGGTGACTCTAGTTGCTCCTAACACTACGTCCAGCTGACCCTGGACTAAGTTGCTGTCCTGTCTTCACACACAGCCACCTCTGCCAGGTGACCAGGAGGTGACCCATTTGCCACTCTGGCCACTGGAGTGGACACTCATAAATTTTGGATTCAGTTCATAGCTTGGCACTAACTTTGTAACCTTGAGTAAATGGATTCATCTTGCTAGACTTCATTTTCATCATCATTAAAATGGAAATGAAAACATGCTTTATGCTCCTCCCAGAGAGATTGTGGATACAATGAGGATGTGCGTTATCTGTACCATGACAAAAAATGGTACAGGAGCCTGGTGCTGTGGCTCATGCCTGTAATCCCAGCACTTGGGAGGCCGAGGCAGGAGGATCATGAGTTGAAACCCAGCCTGGACAATTTAGCGAGACTCTGTCTCAAAACAAAGATTTTTTAAAAATGGGTGTGGGTGTAGCTCAGTGTGAAGGCCTTGGCTTCAATTGACAGCTAACCCTAAAGCTACCTTTTTCTATCACAAAGGCAGATCTGATTACTTTCTATTTTTGCACTTAGCTGCAGTTTTATAACATGAACTTTTAGGTTCATGACTGGTAGGAGCATGAGTTTCTGACATGTTGGTTGTGCCTTTTTGCTTTTGGGGAAGGGGTGCACCTTTGTTGAGAGTGATGTTTTCATTCATTCATTCAAGAAGTGCTGGTTTTTTTCTATTAATAGAACTCTTCAGTTGCTATTTTTTTGTGTGCTGGGTGCACAAAAATTTACAGATATTTGTGCCCTGAGCTGTGTGTTCAGTGGAATGGTAAAATCAATGTGCAGATGCTGAGAACAAGACTTGTGTACACTGCAGGAGACCAGGCCATGTGGGGCTCAGCCAGAGATGAGGGGCAGGGGTTTAGATCAGAGGTCTTTTATTTGCTTCTGCAGTACTTTTTCCCAGATTTTGTTATATACCGGTAACTTCCATGTTGTTATGTAGGTAATACTGGAGTCGTATTCTTCCCCCTGAGGAGGTCAGGGTGTGCCAGAGACCAGGAGGGCTGGAGTTTGTCCTCTCTCAGCTCTGGTATTTAGAGCCTATTCCCAGGAAGGCTGTGGCTGAAGCTTTACTTGTGGGTTCTTGTGCTCATTTCAGATGGAAATCATGGGTAGGCAAAGTGCAGCTCCCTTAGTGTTAGCAGATTCTGGGGCCTTGAGTTCCAGAATTTCAGCTGTTAGCGTTAGCGGCTCTCCCAGTAGTGGGAGCCAGCGCTTCCTGGGAGCTCTCTGGAGCTTTTGCAGCAGCAGCACCAGTAGCTCCCAGCAATTCCGTTAATCTCCATTGCTCCTGCTGTTCTCCTTCAATGTTACCACTCTCAGTGCATCCAGTCAACCTGCTCTGAGAGGCTTTGTTAGGACTTACACTGGGCTGAAAAGGAGCAGCGCTTGGGAGGAGGTTCACCTGCCTGACCTGGTGAGAGTGAGGAGCGCTGCTCATATAGACAGGAGAGGCCCATGCACACACACCTCTCTGGCCTGCTCACTGCATGCTTTCTGCTCGGTCCTGCCATCCTGTGCAGGTGAACAGGCCCACCTGCCCTGCTGTTGTCAAGGAGGGGCTCCTTGTGGACCAGAATGGGGACATCTGAGGCAACTACAGAGGGTGCAGCCGTCCAACAAGGCTGCAGGGCACCCGAACTCTTCCAGAGTGTTGGGCACTTCCCTTTCTTTCCGGGGGAACCTTCTTAGCTTTTCAGCTGTAGCTCTGTGGTTCCATGTTTGCGTTTTGATTAATGATAGCTTTGTTCCTATGTCCCCCATTCCTGGAGGTCCTGTCCTCAGCCACCGTTTGAGTGTCCTGGGTGCTTTGTAAAAATACAGATACCCAGTCCCACTCCCAGCTAAGTGAGTGTTTTTCCCACTTTTCTTCTGTCCCTGCTCTCCCTCCTCTCCTCTTCCTTCATCCTCTCCTGTTCTCTCTGCCCTCTCTGTGCTCTGCCTTTCAGAATAAAGTGATACTGCCTTGGGCCCTTTGAGCATGGCAGGGAAGCCCGGCTTCCTGTGTGACCAATCTGAGGGCCCCAGCCAAGCCACCAAGGCCCCCTTGCCCTCCTTCTGTCTCTGTCTCCCTTCAGGGTGGGCTCTGTCTGCAAGGCCTTGTGTGGTTGGCGTGTCCTGCCACACCTGAGGACTCTTTCACGAGGTCTCTTCAGCTCTCAAGCTGGTCTAAGATGTGACATGCAACATGCCCTCTGGTTCGACCTCCCCTTCAAGACCTTCTTCTTTCAAGAGACTGGCTTAACTCTCAGGTCTGCTGGCATTCCAACAGTAGTTTATTGAGGCTGTGCTCTCTAGGCCTGAGGTCCCTCTGTCCTTCTAATTCTACCTCTGTCAAAGCATTTCATGGCAATACGGGGGCTACAGGGGAGGCTATAAAGTGGAAAAATGTGGAAAGACCTGAAGACTTGCTGAGCTTGGAAATGAAGGTGCAGGGCATTCTTGGGTGAACTAAGCCAGCGGAGGTGTTGCCCCGTGACCTGGCCACTCCTGTGCATCATGCTAAGAGGAGTCTGAAGGAAGACTTGGGCCAGCGGTGCAGCTGTGCAGGGAGCCAGGCTTAATTCTCCCCTGGAGAGGGCAGAGCTGTGTGTGGAGGGCGAGAATGAAGCCCACCCCACTGATGGAGGCAGGGCCAGGCCCCCGACATGGGAGGGGCTCCTCTGACTGGCAGGACGCGGTGGGGACAGGGCAGCAGGTGCATCGGGGCTCCCTCCAGGGGCTCTCCTAACGCTGCAGCGGTGCAGAGGGGCTGTGGTGGAGTGGTGCGTCTAAGTGCATTCTGGTTTCTCCCCTAGTGTTAATGGATTTCTGACAAGTAAGAAATGTGTCAAACACTGAAGGAAAAACTTCCCCAATGACATGAAAATTATTTGTGATTTTGTATGTTACCTTTTAGTCTATGGTCACATGTTACAGTTTTACATAATCGAATGCTTTTTTTATCACTGCTTTCAAAATTGAGTACTCTCATAACATTTTTGGTATTTAGAATCATAATTTTTAAAGCCACATAATATTCTATAATATGTATTTTTGGTTTATTCTTTGTGGCAGATTTGAAGAAATCAAATTACTCTTTCAATTCCAACATTTATATAGTGCTATTTACATATTATAACCTCTTAAAGGTGTTAATATGTATAGCACGTGTGCCAGTGTTACCATAGCTTTCCTGGTATTGGTGAGCACCACTTAAATTAATTAAGTATTAATTGCTATCACATAATTCTCATTTTTAAACATTGAAGTCATTGGTTGTAATAAAGAATGATTTTCCCTTAGCTGTTTGTTACTTGTATCCACGCCAATGAGTTTCTGTCTCCAGGGTGTTGGAGTGTACCCAGAGTGTACAGCTGGATGCAGGCTTATACACTCCTGTGCACACATGCACACACCCTTGCTGCACACTCCCCGGTACCCCCAGCACCCTCTGCCCAGCAGGAGTCACAGGTCTGTGTTATCTGGGATCAAATTAGCAATCCCTGAAGAGTCATTTAATACTTAATTCTTCGTGCATTTTTAAACATGTAACAATGGCCACGGTAGACGTGGTGCGTAAAATGTCCTCACGTTCGGTTGGGCAGAGGGCACAATGCGCACTCACTGAGTAACAAAGCTCTGCGTTTGTTTCTCTAGGTCTTGGGTGTGTGATGTGTGACTCAGAAGCTGCTCATTAGGAAAATTTCCAAACCCACCCTTAACATTGCCCTGGGCTCTGCGGCAGAGAGAAACTGATGATGATTTTAAGGATAACAGCGGTGATTTGTCCCCCAAAGAGAATGCGACAGCACCCCCATCTAGGCTTCTGTTTAAGTCAGGGCAGGTGCTGCCGTGGCCAGCTTCTCAGTGTCCCAGGTGGCTAACAACCTCTTCACGGCAGGTGGGGAGTTAGTTGCAAGAGCTCTTAAGGCTGAGGCGGGTTTGAATTCTACACCAGCAGCGCAGAGCGCCCCCTACAAGGGAAGGGTTGTTTCACACGAAAGTGCTGCGAGCCAGGAAGCAGTGTAGCAGCAGTGTACCCTGGAACACAGGGCTGTCTGAGGGGCAGGGTATGTGCTGTTGGATATCATAGAAACATTTTAAAGATAATACTTAACGTTTGCTTCGATTACAAAAGCAATGCATATTGTTTACAAAAAGATGTGAAAATGCAAGTAAAGCACAAAGGTAAAGGAAAAGTACTTGTAATCCCAGGATCCAGAGACAGCCAGCTGCCTTCCAGTTATTCTTCTGGTTGGCTCTGTATATTTTCTAAAATAAACAAAACCATGGACGTAGCTATGTAAGGTCTTCCTGTTCTCTTCTCCCTGGATGTGTGCTATGGGTATCTTCCCGTGGCATCCGTACCTCCGCAGCACTGTGAGTGGCTGCCTGACTCCATACTGCGCCGGGCGGGCAGGTGCTATGCTGGTGTCTGGCTCTGAGCATCTCAGTGGTTTCTCCCTGCAGAAATCAGCACCACAGTGACTGTTCCTGGGTAGAGATATTTCTACAGATCCACGGTTGCTTACATTTATTTTTAAAACAATGCTGTGTTCTCATTTATTTGAGTATGGATAAGAGAGTGGATGTGAACATCAGTTCAGTTCCTCTACAGATTACCCAGAAAAGTATGGAAATAGCATATTTAACCTTTTCACTAAGTGACCTTCATTTAACATAGTTGTAATTAATATTATAAAAGAAGTGCTGACTGCCTTGTTTTAAAAAAGAAGTGAAAAATGTACTAAAATACCTTTTGCACCTTAATCACTTCTCACATGACAAGTTCTGCCCACCACAGAGGGGCCCCACATGGTCCAGCCCTGACCCCACTGGACAGCTGTCCCCCACCCCTCCTGTTTTCCCCACAGCCACACAGCTTTGCTGTGTTGCTGGTTTGCACAGATAGCCCTGGACCAGCCTTCACGCCAGCCACAGCTTAGCTCAGAGACAGGTGGGGAAAGAACTTTGGGTGGGTTTTTTTTTGTAAGACTGGGGAGGGCTAGAGGGCAGTATTATGTAGCTCACGATTGTACAGTTGTCTTCTGACTTTAGAGAGGAGTGCAGTAAGAATTATATTGCAGAAGGATATACTGTTGGTGTATTAAGAATAAGCACTAATCCAAGCTGTATCTGTTATGAAATGTGGATTTGATTATTTTCACAATCATGATGTTTGAGATCCTGATGCGTCCTTTTCTTGCATTTGTAGATCCACATCATAGATTTTGATGATGAAAACAACATTATAAATAAGAACGTCCTCCTCCACCAAGCGGGTGAAATCTGGCACATTAGTGCCAGCCCCTCAGACAAAGGGGTGCTGGCTACCTGCTACAATAAAAGTAAGTGTGGCATTTGGTTGGGTAGTTGGGTAGCTAAGGTGTCGCGTGAGATGGAGTTTATATTGCTGATGAATCGGTGTGGGATTTGTAACCCTGACCACCAGTAAAGGGATTGTGGCTCGTAGTGTCACTTGTACATCTGGTGCCCCACACTGTGGCACTTCTGCCGCCTCTGTCAGAGCAGTGTCCCCCCACACTCCCTAGGAAGGGGGTGGCAGCCTTCTCTGCTTGGAGAGGACCCCGAGTTTCCCAATGAGAACAGAGTGGTCCTCTAGCAAAGCGGCACTCAGGCTTTTGGACGAATCTTTGTTGTGACTTACGCAGGTTGGCTCACTCCGTCCTCCTCCAGAATACCATCACCTTGTCTTGTGTCCTTGTTGCAGCATGTCCCTTCAGACCTTTGCCATGTCCAGCTGGCCAGGTGCAGGTCCCAGGTCTTGCTGGCACTCAGGAGAAGGGGTCCCCCAAAGTGATGCTGTCCCTGCATACAGCACGGCCCATGTCCCCAGAGCCCACTGCATCTGCTCAGCGTCCACTGGAGCTGGGGTGCAGAGCAGGCTCCGGTGTCCCCTGTTGTTGGCACGATTCCTCTCCTCTGCCCCACAGGGCCATTTACAGAGGTGCCCGGGCACAGGACAGCAGCTGTGTCATCCATTCGGAAAGGCGGATGGAGGGAAATGAGCCTCGGTCCATGGTGGTTCCAGGTATCCAGTGGGCATTTTCCCTGGAGGTCCTGGGACATCTCGTAGCCATCCATGTGTCTCCCTTCTTCTTCATGGTAGGGACCACATGTGCCTGGCCTCGTCACTCAACAGCCTGGTCCCTGCCAGAGGAGTTTGGAGGTGTGAGATGCTCTGCTGCGCGGACAACCTTCTGTCCCCGTGGGCCAGGCCGACGGTGTCTGCACACAGATCTCTCCAGAGCCTCGTGGTCCCTGGTGGATGTCGTGGGCACCTGCTCGTGGACAGGAGACCAGGCCCAGGGTGCACCAGGCGTGATGGCAGAGGACCAAGGGTGACCGAGGGTGAATGAGACAGGCGAAGGGGACAGAGTGAGGAATGTTCATTTTGGGGGTGCGTACCAGGGATCAAACTCAGGACCTTGGTGCTTGCAAGGCAGCAGCGGAACCACTGAGCTAAATCCTGGGCCCAAGGGGACAGAGCAAGGATGCAGGTGAAGGGTCAGGGCGAAGCGCGAGGTCCCCGACGCGGTCCCTGCAGGACATCAGGTCCCCCCCTCCCCCTCTCCCTCCCCCTCCCCCTCCCCCTCTCCCTCTCCCTCTCCCTCTTGAGAGGCTCCCGGCCTGCTCGGCCTCAGCCTCTGCCCTGCTGGCGGCTCTGGGGCAGCCTTGCCTCCTTGAGGCTTTCCTAACCGTCACCTCTTCACTGCAGCCTCTGTCGCTCTCCGAGGCTGAGTTCCCAGAGCCATCGGGTTGCTGCTCCTTTTGTTCACCAGCCCTCGTGCTCCTCCTTCTCTGCTGCCCGGAGGAGACCTGCATGAGACTAGCTTCCTGAAGGCTCTGTGTCCTCCCGTGGGGGACAGTCAGTCCCACTGTGACTCCTGCCACCACCGAAGTGCTTCTTGTGGGGCTCACGCTGCAGTCCCAGCTGTGTTCTAGGAAGAGTCTGTTCAGGGCAGTCTGCCTCCTCTGTTCACCTGCTTTTTGTTTTGTTTTTTTGGTACCAGGGATCATACTTAGGACCTTGTGCTTGCGAGGCAGGCAGCGGCACCACTGAGCTAAATCCCCAGCCCTCACCTGCTTTTTTTTTGACACCAACACCCTCAAAGTCTTGCGTCCATCCTGCGTCCTCCTCCGACCTGGGAGTTGGTTACACGGGCATCCATTTCTGCAGCTTTGTGTGCCACATAAAAAGTTGGCATGAGCCTGGGGCCTTCATCCGGCCCACTGCTTTACTCCTGGTCTCCAGGGTGACGCACCAATAGATGCCTCTGGTCCGGGTTCTCCCTGGGTCTCAAGGATGCTGAGCTGGTGTCCAGCACGCTGCAGTCTGTCTGCATCCGGGGTCTTCTTGTAGGCTCACTGGTTTTTGGCAAACTTGGCTCCTGAAGTGGGGACCAAGTACCTGGTTTCTTGGTGCTGTCCGCAGGGGCCCCCCTCACAGTGCCCCAGTTGGTGAATGGATATTGGCTTGAGCTGCGGAGTTTGCAATAGAAAACGAGCCTGACCATTGCCATTCTCGTCCCTGGGGTCCACGGTTGCAGTGGATTCTCCCATCCACTTATCCCGAGTCCCCAAACCTCGGGTCAGGGTTTCCAGAGACCGACTCTCCCCACCGGTCTCTGGGGGGCAGCTTGGCCGTTCTTGGCGCCATTTCCCTCCCTGCCAGTCTCTCCGGGGAGCAGGGCAGAGTTGCTCCGCAGCAGTGTGTGTCACTCCCCATGATCAACTTTGTTCCTGCCACAGGGCAGAGCTGAGAGGGCTATGCGCTTGGAGGTGGCTGTTCTCCGGCATGAAGCGCAGAGTTCTGCTCCTTCTGGCTCCAGCCAGTGGGCAGCTGCAGGACTTGGCTGTACCTCCGCTGTGCGAAGCCCTTGGTGGCGTCTTGCCTGGTCTGCTGGAGGGTCTCCAGTGACAGGCACTGTCTTGGGGCCGGCTGCCAACTCTTATGCTCAGATGGCTCCAGATGGCCTTGGAGCTGGAGCCCGGAGCTTGCCCTGCACACCTGAGCACAGAGACACTGAGAGACAGAATGCAGTTGCAGACAGGCGCTAGCGTTCAGCTTGCCCATGTGTCTCGAGCCTTCCATGATGCAGTGTGTTATGTACAAATTCAGTCCAACAGCACCGTAGACTGGAATTGAAGTGCCTTGCTGAAGTTGTCACCTCATTCTACAGATCTTCTTGTAAGGAGCAGCACTGCGCTTTACCCTCTCTTTTCCAGGAGCTTTTTTCTTTGTCAATTTTGTTTTTTATTGGTCCACATTTGTAGTATGTATTGATCACATGCTCGAGGCAGGGTGGTGCCTGGACATAATACAGCTGCATTCTTTCTTCATCCCTTCTCTCCCATCCCTTCTCCTTCCTTCCATTTCTTGGTCTCTTTCCTTTGCACAAAAGATCTCTTTACTTCCTATTATCTATCTTTTATTTTGCTCTTCATTTATGCTTTGGGTTTTCATATAAGAGAAACCATGTGATATTGAAGCTTTTGCATGTGATTTATTTCACTTCACATTATGGTCTCAAGGTGCATCCATTTCCCTACAGATGACCCAAGTTTATCCCTCTTTATGGCAGAGTAGTACTCCATTGTGTGTAAATATCACACTTTCTATATTCATTCATCTGTTGGTGGACATGTGAGCCACTTCCAAGGTTTAGCTGTCAGGAATTGGGTCCGTGACACTCGTTAGCTTGTGCTTTTGAGGAAGCCCCCATTGACTGCTGTTCATGGTGTCCGCATGTGTCTTTGTCCCCTCTCTTTGCAGCTCTGCCTCCTTTCTGCCTTAGTTGGTCTGTGTGATGTTTTGGGTGATGGCAGCAGCTTTACCTGTCCCTGGGCATGTGGCAGCGGGGCAGTCAGTGCATGGGAAGTGGGCCCAGCAGGTGCAGAGTGCACCAGTGTGCTCTGCTTCTTGAGGAGAGCTTGCCTCCCTCCCACCCATGTACCGTGGCCCTTCACGGGGCGCTGAGGTTCTCTTTCTGGCCTCTTTCTTGGAGGGAGGCAGAAGGGGAATGTTCAGAGGGCTCTAGAGAGTGTCTTGAAGTGGAGTCCATTGGAGAGATCAGCTCTTCTGCAGAATCTCAGTGTGGTCGGGGCTGTAAGCCAGGGCTTTAAGTTGTATCATAATTTCAGTCCACAGAATCTCTGCAACTCAGTGGAAGTTTCGGTACTCTCGGACACTCACACTCACACTGGAGTCGGTATCACAGTGCCCCTGTAAATCGACATTGAAGTTGAATTGACTCACAACGTGTTTTTCAGTGCAAATAAGCAAAGTTCCCTCTTTACCTACACCATCCTACTCAGGAGGGAAGGGAAATGAAATCAGTAGTCCAGCTGGGCATGGTGGCACTACACCTGTAATGCCAGCACTGAGGAAGCTGAGGCAGGAGTTCAAGGCCAGCCTGGGCTACATAGTAAGTTCCTGTTTCAAAAAACAAAACAAAACAAAACAGCAGTAGTCCATCCACACCTTGTGCAGCCACAGAGTCTCCTGTTCACAGAACTCTCCATGCTGAAGGATGCTCTGTGTCTTAGAAATGATCGGGAATTGGCTGTAAGTTAAAGTAACCTGGAGATTCAGACTCTCTTGGATCAAATGGTAACATACCTGTCCTCCTTTGAGTGGCAGACAGAGATGGTACCAGGTTACTGAAAGGGATTTATGACCACCCCGGATCCTTGTGTAGCCGTTGCTGGAGACTGAAGATACTGGCTGGGGGGAGTTGTATGTATGATAAACTCTTGGGACTTTCTATATGGGTGATGAAGGTTTAAAAAAAAAAAGAACACTACCTTTTTGATAATTTTGTACCAAAAATGCATCAGCATGCAAGCAGAATGAGGACGGTTTCTGAGACTGTCTCAGCCGAACTGCACACGTGTGTGTGTAAATGGCATGGTAGACATTGCTGCTGCCACACGGAGGAGGGGCTGGTCCAGGCGACAGGACAGTGGTGGGTGGCCTGTGCCAGCCTCCAGTCTTGACTTGGCCACGTTGTCACCACCTGGGAAAGCCCGACCCTTACAGAGTTAATGCAAATCACTGAAACTGTCTAAATCACCTCCCCTTGTGATTCCCATCTCAGGTGCTTCTGGGAGACCTTAAGCCTTGCTATGCGTTCTGTTTCCTGATTTTTGTTCTTTTTTCTTTCAGTACTGGTAATTTAACCCAGGGCCTTGACCCTGCTTTCTACCACTAGCTACACTTCTTGCCCTTTTTGAGGCAGGGTCTTGCTAAGCTGCCCATGCTGGGCTCAAACTTGGGATCCTCCTGCCTCAGCCTTCCAAGTAGCTGGGATTCCAGGCATGTGCA